GAGCAAAAGGGAAGGCCCAGTCGAGGAAACTGAGAGGGAAGATGAACCATCCTGAAGATGCAAAATAAATAGGACCCTGAGCCCTGGAGAAGGCAAAATAGATGAGACTTAGTGATTTGAGTAAGTGATACAGCAGGGGAATAGGAGGAGCTCAGCCTCAGGGACTGATGCAGCTGTGGTAGCAGTGATCTCGGGGTGCTGGCAGGAGAGGTGAAAGCTAACATCCCACAGGACCAGGACTGGAGTGAAACAATAGAGAAGCCGAACGTGTCCATCCACTTCAGCGGAGGGAAGAGTCCCACTGCTGGAGATGGTGTGGCAGGCACTGGGGTAGTGGGGAGCAGACAGAAGTGAGAGGCCGAGAGATGCGAGGAAGTCAGATTTTCCACTCTCTGAGGAAAGACTTGGTGGAAGAGGACAAAGGTCCCAGTGGCAAGTGGTAGGAGGAGAAGAATAGCCTTGGCAGCACTGGCTGGAGATGGGCAAACTATCAGTTGACAGAAAGTTTGCCCCTTCTTATTGCAGTGAGCATGTGCATCGCTTGCATTTCCCGTGTTTGCTGTGAGAATCACTCATCCGTCACTGAAATGCCGCTGTATCTGGTATGACACCCAGCAGCTCTGTAGACAGCCCACCACACGGCTGCATGGTGCACTGGCATAGGAAGGAGAGAGACTGCCGGGGGATATCTTAGGGAGGTAGGAGGGAGAGAGAGAAGAATCAGTTGAGGATAGCCCAAAAGACGACATCCAAAAGTACCCGAGCAGCTCCTCTGTGGAGCTCACAAAGGGGTGGGGGCTAGGCAAGGGATCACTTTAAAGGCAATGAGAAAATCACAGCGTTAAAATATAAATGGGCAGGAAAGGCAGCGGTCGCGTGACCAGGTCTTGGATGCTGTTGAACTGCCCCCAGTGCCCAAGAAGCAAACACGTGCATGGAGCGGCATCAGTTTGCTGTCGTGTTCCCTTATCTTTGGGCAACTTTCTGCAAGGCTGGGGCCGTCCGGCTGGAGCAGACAGCCAGCTGGAACGGCCTCCCCAAAAGCCAGACATTCAGCCAAGGCACATCCTGGCCCTTTACCGCTACTCAGAGGACCAGGGATGGTGTAAAAGCACCTACTTTGGCTCTGCCCTGGTAGCGATCGTCCCTTGTACTCATTAAACCATGCAGGTGCAGGGCAGAATGCAGTCCCGCTGCACGGTCACTGTATGTTGTGGTCTAGTCTGACTCGCAAGACTAGCCCCATAATAAACCAGGACTGAAGAAAGCTCCGTTCATGCAGGGCGGATGCCGGTGCAGGGGTCTACCCAGCACACCCCTCCCCATCCTTGCCAAAGAGGCGCTGAGGACCTCAGCGCCGAGCACAAGAGCGCCGAGCGCTGGGAGCGCGCTGTGCGTTTCAGCTGAGGCTCCCAGGGCTCTGCACCAGCGCGATGAACTGGGGCCCAGCCCCACCTTTGGAGTGAAAGAGCGCTGGGGTGGGAGTCAGGGACTGGGGTGCCTGGTCTGCCACTGACCTGCCAAGTGCCCTGGGCAAGTCACCTCATCTCCTCCAGTGTTTGGCTAGTTAGAATCACAGAATCACTGAGTCAGGAAGGGACCTAGACAGATCATCGAGTCTGACCCCCCGCC